CAGCTCCTCACACGCAGACCCAGAACTACGATCATTTTTCTAAATAGAAAGAAAAAGCAAATGTTGCCATTATATCATGGCGTTATGCTGGTTTAAAACCAAAGGTTTTAAATCACATTCATGTACTGTCTGAACTAACAGAAGCATGTTTTCAAATGGGGACTGAAGGATGTTATAAGGCAGTGGAAATGTTTACTCTGCAAAATATGAGGCAGGGAGGCTCCATGGAAAAGTTGTAAGTTAATGGTTGGAAGCTTTGGGCTCCACACACAATCCTTCCGTTTCCTGGCTGTGGGTCCCTGGCTGTGGGTCCCAGGCCCCTCACTCACCATCTGTTCAGCACTTTCCTCCATTTTATGGCGGGACAATAAATGCCAGCTGAAATACGCCTGGCTCACGCCGAACACGAGGGACTTTATTTACACATTTATAAGTGAGTTTACTCTTAATATTCAGCAACCTTATTGTCAAAGCAATAATGAAATATGGTGAGTGAATTTATTTACTCCTAAATATTTACATGTGTTTTTGTCTGACCTTGGATTTGATATCCCAGAGCTGGAGGCAAGTTGCCAATAACAAATTCTGCTTTGCCCAAATCAAAAGCAACTTTATGTTAAGTTTTTAATATTGACATTTACTTATTTGTTTTGCTGACATGAAGTGTGAGGCTGTGGATCTGAGGCGCCCTGTTAATTACTCACAGGGCATCTCACCGCTGTCCCTGCAGGCGGGCGGGTGAGGCTGGCGTGCTCTGCGAAGGTGGAGGCTGGGTCACTGGGGAGGGTCTCAAGGTTGTCATGCCCGTCTGAGCTCAGACAACACACACAGCTCTCCTGGGAGAGGAGGAGGGTCTCTGGTCCGTTTCTCTTTGGAATGAGAGCGAATGGCTCCAGGGCGTGAGTTTCCCAGTGCCCCTGTGATTTGTTCTCAGACCCCATCTTGGTCAGCACGCACTCACCCCTGTCCCAGGGGCAGCGGTCTTCCCTGACCACATTCATGCAGCCTGTTTCTAGCACTTCGCGTCAGAATGTTTAAATGAATTTTTAAAAGGCCCAGAGATTTGGTGGCAAATAATTGAGGAGAAATTACAGAGAAAGTCCTGTCTTCAGGACAGTTTCTGAGCTCCTCACGATGAGGGAGAGGGATGGTGCTGAAGGAAAGAGCAAACAGAAGCGGGAGGGATGGGGCAGGAAGGGAGCAACGTGGGGCTGAGAGGGCAGGGTCTGAGCGCCTCCTGAAGAGCAGCAGCCAGCGGCGGCGGTGCGGCCCCGTCTGCCCCGTGCGCTGAGCGACGCTGGGAAAGCTGGGTTAAACCAGGGTGCTGTGCTGTCCCTCCTCGGTGTGAGCAGTTATCTCTGATTTGCAAACTGGAATCTGGGAAATAATGTTTCAGCTACTCATGTTTCTAAACACCATTAAAATGTGTTAAATAACACTTATGGAATCAATTTTACAGCATCTTATAGCTATAAATTTAGCAGTTGCCTATGAATATGAAAGAAATATTAGAAGCAGTTTTAAGGATGTCACTTAGGCAAGTGTATTCTATTGTCAAAAAGTGTTTACTGGGAAAGAAATATTGTAAGTGAAGATCTGTAGACTGAACACATATTAGACGTTATGTATTGGGGAGGGTGTAGCTCGGTGGTGGAGCATGTGCTTAGCGTGCACAAGGTCCTAGGTTCAATCCCCAGTGCCTCCAGTAAATGAATAACCTAATCTCCCCCTAACAAGAAATAAAATAAAATGTTAAAAAAAACAGACCCAGCATGTATCTAACTTAGAATATTTCCCCTGGGGCTATGTGAGCGTTCCACAATATTAAAATATGCCGAGTTATTACACCTTGTCTAAAATTTCTGCTCTATTTCAAGTCAGATGTGGTCAGATAAAAAAATCAACTACCATTTGGAGAAAGTATTCATAGTACTGTTGCCAAACTCAGGCCTGCCTGCTCGCCGCTCGGAAATCGGTACTCGGGAGGCAAGCGCTGGTAGGAAGGACGGCGGCTCGAATCACAAAAGCCAGCAGCCTGGGAGAAGGTGGACTCACGTCCGCAAACGCGTCTCCGAGGTTTTGAAGGGGAGAGGGGACGTGGTCTCAGTTACCCGTGGAGGTGGGGGTCGGGCTCGTGGCCACGCCCCCACATGCCGGCTCGCGGACGCCTCGTGCTTTTTCTGGATGCTGCCCATTCATGCAGTCTGTTTGCGAGATGACTGAGGGGGAGGCTGGGGAGGCGATCTGCCGTCTGTGAGCCGCCTCCTCTCCGTCTCTGCTGCTCTGATCTGTGGACAGACCAGCAGGTTAGGCAAGGGGCCGTGTGAGCAGAAGTCCTGAAGTGCGTCTGGGCCGGAGACGATGGAGGCGGGACGCCTGGTTCAAGGTTGGCGACAGTGCAGCTGAGGTGACAAGGCAGAGGGGCCTCCTGCTGAGAGCTCCGTCCTGCCGAAAGCTGCTTACGAGCGCCCGCTTGTCCGACACCATCCCGTCTCCACGGGATTGGGCCGGGGTCATCTTCCGTGACTTCCTGCTGCTGACGCCGGGCGCCATGCTCCCAGGGGGAGGACGTCTGCCTGGGCCTGCAGCCTCTCCCTGCTGACAGTTGTAGGTGCCCGCTTACACCCCCAGGCAGAGCAAGCTACACGTTCTGACGCCCACGGAGATGTGGGTTATTATGAGCGTTAGTCCCACTCTCTCGAGGCCAGTTCTTGGACTTGTGCTGACCACAGGCTCAGTCCCGCTCAAGGCGGAGCAGCTGACGTCATGGCTGCAGTCCAGTCACCGTGCAGGTGTCCTGCTGGCAGTTACGGTGCCTGTGAAACAACACAGGAAGGTGCCTCAGACACGAGCCTGTGGCTCCGTAGTCATGACCTGCTCGTCTGGGGCTCAGGGAGGCCCGGGACACTTCAGCTCCCTGCAGACAAGATGCAGGGGACGTGGGGGAATTCTGTACTTGGTGGAGGGGTTGGGGGAGGCCCGCAGGGTCCTGCTCGGTTCCATTACTGAGTGCAAGTCCACGTGGCTGACACACAGTGAGGCCAAACAAACCGAAACATCAGTTTGGAGCCGAGAAGCATTTGTCGCAGGGTCAAGCAGGGAGAAGGGGTGACCTGTGCTCAGAAGCCCCGAACTCCCCGCAAACCACCAGGCAGTTATTACAGGCAAAATCGGGGGGGAGGCCTGCAAGTGTGTGCCCTTCCTCCGACGGGGCTCCTGTGCTCAGCCTGACGTTACCGGCATGCACCTGGAGGGGGCCTTGGCTCTTGCGGAAGGGCCCGGAGACACTGCGCTGTGTGGTAGACGCCACATCAGAAGTCACGACCTTCCTAGCTGAAGTCAGGCAGCCGGCTGCCTGGCCGCACGCCTCCCTGAAGGCCGGGTCCACGCTGGTCCCAGGCCTGTCCTGAACTCCTCGGGGAACGAGGGCTATTTTATCATGAAAGTCCGGTTGCGAAGCCTTCTCCTCCTGACTGGGTCTGCTGCGCCAAGATGGTAGCTGACGGGACCGAGACCTTAATCACACGGTCGCATCCGAGAACTCGGGAGCGTTTCCCATTCAGCGTCCGCTGCCCAGATCAAGGGCGGACTCCGCCCCGTCTCAGCAGGAAGCAGCCAGAGTGGTCATCGCCCGCTCCTCTGAAAGACCTGGGGAGACTGAAACAGGAGTGGGGGAAGCCAAGCCAGCGCCCGGGGGTCCTCCCAGATATGAATCCTTCCCACATCCCCCGTTTCTTGTTCGTAGGAAGGAGCCTCCCAGACCTTCCGAGTTCCAACGGGCAGATTCCAACAGCTGTTATCAGGGAAGGGAGGGGTGCAGAGACAGGAGGAGTGGTTGAGGAGCAAGGGTGCGGCCTCGGTGCAGGTCCTGGCTCCTCCTCCAGCAACAGACATAGCAGTGTCTCTGAGCTCTTCTGCAGGAACTAAGGCCCCCCCACCCCAGGTGGAGGACGGCAGCTTCAGGCCAAGCACAGGAGCCCTGCAACCCCACCCTGTTCCTCCCCACCAGCCAGTCAGAAGACAGTCACACCCCTGCAGCCCTCACCCCAAATTTTGCCTATAAAAACTCCACAGAACCATTGGGGAGCTCGGGGATTCCTGGGAATGAGCCGCCCCTCCCCTTGCCTGGCTCTGCGCTAACCCTTCCTCTGCTCCAGCGTTTCCGTTTGGCCTCATGGTCCGTGAGGCACGTGGACTGTGCTGGGTGGCACTTGAAACAGTCCCCGTGGCCCAGAGGATGAGATGCAGGACTGACTCCCGCCTCGGATGGCGTCTCCCACCCTGGCAGAGCTGGGCATGGAGACGGGGCCTTTGCTGGGGGAAGGAAACGTGACCACCAGCAAGAAAAGTAAAGCGGAAGGAGCAGCTCAAGCCGCGGGTGTGGCCGCAGCTCGGAGAGCGGGGCCTTCGCTGGTACAGGAGCGGCAGGGGCCCCGGCAGACGCGCAGCCTCCACCTGCAAACCCGTCACCCTCCCAAAAGCTCTGACCTGAAATTAGTCGTTGATTGAATGTAAGAGGAATCCAGAGTGAGTTCCTACAGTTACGCCCGCTGTGTACAGTGGGCACATCCCTGCGTGACCACGTTCCTGTGTCAGAAACGTGTCTGCACACGTCGTCCCCACGCCTGCAGCATGAGGGCGCACAGGTTACGCATGAAGGCCCGCCGCAGTGCCTGGGTCAGTCTTCCAGGCGCCCTACCCCGGGTTTAGAATTTAATGAAGGTAAAGACTCCGTGAGTCGCGCCATTGCTGTAAATGTCTGAGTTCTCACACTGCAAACGGCATCCATCTTTCAGGCGTGCTTAACTTTTTCCCAGTTGTATTGAGGTGTAATTGACCGAGTCATCACGTATTTAACGTGAACAATGTGGTGATTTGATACACGCGTACATTAGCACGTGATTCCCACAGTCAGCTAGTCGGCACCCCCGTCCCCTCGCACGGTCCCTGTTTTGGGTGAGAACCCACGGGGTTTATGTGTCTGCCCTCTGTCCTGACAGGTGAGCATGTTAGACTGGGGCCGAGCGGCAAAAACCTATGACCTCTGTGAGGTGCTATTTAAAGTTCACCAGGTGAGTGTCCTGGCACATTAGACGCTTTCGTCTTAACAGGGTGTCCCTTTGGGCTTAAAGAGTGAGGAGAACGTTGTTCAGCGCCGTCTGCTGAAGCAGTAACATAAGCTGAAAGTCCAGGTCCGTCCTCCCGCCATTCGCCGAAGTGCCACCGAAGAGCACCCGGGGGACCATCTGTCTCTGTCTTGTCACGCAGGCTCCTCGTGATTTCCTCCTGGCTGGTGTTCCCACGTGCTTCCGTGGCTCTTCCTGCGTCCGAGACGTGCACCTGGGGTTGGGGTGTCACCCCAGGGCCGTCGCACCTTATGTGCGATAAATACACTGTGGAGCCTCTTCTATTAACAGATAGAGACGCGCTCCTATGTTTATCCAGCGTATCTTCCCACAAAGATTGAAAAGAATTTGATAAACACACGTGCAGTGAAGTAATTATGAGATCATGAACTTGCCCAGGAGAATGGGTGCAGCAAACGTCCTAAACTCAGCACAGGACCGATAACAATAAACACAATAAAGTCACAAAGTTGGACGTTTTTAGAAAGGAGACTGTCCTGTGGGCTGAGTGTCCTGCCGGGTGTCCCTGACAGTGACCTTTCAGAATCTCCCCTTTTCTCACGTCCTTTAACCCTCGATGTTGGTTATTTCACACACGTGAATTTAAAGTTCTTGGTAAGAGTTCATTCATTTTTCAAAAACCGAAATAAATGTGGGGTTATCATAAGGCCCAGCACGTCAGTACAGCATTTTTTAATGATTTGTTTTCATAATCACCATTTCGAAGCAGAGCCATTAATATCTAGCCCAGAAACCCAGCGTGGCAGCTGCGGGGGAGGTTCTCCTCTCCAAAAATTCCTTTTCCAGGTCTTAACATCGTGTGTCTGTATTTCACAGTCACCACGAAACAGATGAGAAAATTGCGTCATCTGGCTTGATTGCGATCGTGACTTGAATTGTAAACGGCCTCTCAGCCTCCACAGGGTGAACAATAAGCACCCCACCCGGCGGTGAGGCGCCGGCGCCACAGTCTGTCCAGCACGGGAACTCTCCGGGTCGCGAAGCTGCGCAGGCGTTTGGCAAAGGGTGTTGATCATAGTCCCTCTCTGTTTATTTTAGTGGCGGCACCAGGATGGAGCCCAGGGCCTCGTGCACACTAAGCACGTGCCCCATCCCTGAGCTGTGCCCGCCCGCCCATGACATCTCCCCCTCGAGGACTGGGGCTCCCGGGGCCGAGCTCCCTGCTCTGTCTGCACCCTGCGCTAACCCTGCTCCCCGGGAGTTGACCCTTATTACCTCCATCAGCTGGGAAGTCAAGCACGCAGAGGGGGGTCTCTTCCAGAAGCCTCGCGGGAGGCGGGCCGGCCGCGTCCTGGAAGCTCATCTCAGGGCTGTTCTGTTCACCGTCAGCACAGGTGTGCGGGTGTCTCCCTGGGTGTAGCTTCAGAGACAGCAAGCGGAGCTGTGGGATTGACTAGCACTCGGGGGAGAGAGTGCCTGAGTGATTCTCCGAAGTCCTGCCGCAGCAGAAATTGAACCACCCAAGTTAGATGGACAACGACGGCGCTCGGGCCGCGGCTAACGGGCAGGGATCGAGCCCAGTGCCTCTGGCGCCCAGGGCGGGGCCCCGACCAGCTGGGGGTGGGGGCGTGGACCCCACCCAAGGGGAAAGTAACCTCTCTCGCAGCTTCACGGTGGGGTAAGTCTTGGAAGGTGGAGCTGCCCCAAGTAGGCGAGGCTCCCGCAGGCACAGAGACTGAAGATGCCCAGTTCCCTGGATGCACACCCCGAGGGCAGGGCGGCTCCCAGGCCCGCCTGTGAACGGGGAGGCAGATTCAAGTGTCAAAGGGGCCCCGATGGGGCTGAGGAGGATGAGCTTTCTAACATAAGTGCTCAGGACAGCGGCCAGGCCCGGGGCCGGGAGGGCCTGTGCACCGTCAGTGAGGCCGCGGGGGCGGGGGGGGTGTCACTCACTCACTGTCTTTGCGGCAGCTCAGGACCTTTGATGGGGTGATTGTCCCCGGTGTCCCCAGTGTCTGAGTCATCGTCACAGTGTGTTCCTGAGTTACTGGGGCTGCAGGGTCTGGGGAGGGAGCTGTGTGGGTCCTTGCTCTCACTTCTGCGGCATTTACTCCATGTTGTTTTTATGAGGCTAAGCAGTGTGAGTTCCACAGCGCGGCAGCTTCTGTGAAGGCCCTCAGCGCCCCTCATGGGCTTTCTCAGGAGGTCCCAAGGCGCGTTTCACGTCCTCTGTTTGTTCTTGAGCGTGGAGCCCAGGCGTGTCGATTCACAGCAGGACCCCTGGCCCCCGCGCCCGATCGAGTGCGCTCACTCATCAGCTCGGACTCTACACAGGGCGCTCCCGAGAGTCAGCGGCTGTGTGCGTGGAGACATAGCGATGCTCTTCAGTTAGTGGCGCTGGAAGGACCATCAAAGCCCACTGAGAAGTGAAGACCCACGGTGATCGTGTATTTGAAGAACTCCGTTAAAATCCTGTCACACGTTTATAGAGCTGCGTTTACAGAGAGACCTTGCGTGGAAGGGAATATAAAACACATTAGAGGACAGAGTAGAATTATTTATCTGTTACGTGCCCTGGGCTGCTGCAGTAATTGTTTCACAGGCACAAATAGAAGCAGGAAAAATGCAGATAATTTTCTGAAATAGTCGTTGCTTTTGTTTCCTGGACGATGCCGAGATGGTTTCCGGCTCCGTGGTCCGGGGTGGGGCGAGGCCCTATGAGCGGGTGCTGGCTGGAGAGCGGGTGCCGGCATGTGTGGTGATGATTTTGTGGGGACCAGTAAGCTGCATACTGGACATCAAACCTGAGCGGTCGCTGAGACGCAGCTCTGCTTAACGACCGCGCGTCGTGTAAGCAGGACGCGCGGTTCCATGACGGGCTCCGTGAGCCGCACACCTTGTCTGCGCTGTCCTTGACGACCTTTCTCGGACGCCTGGTCTTGTGCGAAACGGAGGCTCAGAGGGAAGCAAAGCACTCAGGGCGGCAGCTGGTAACTGGCGAGGAGGGTTCTCAGAGCTGCTTCTCTTCTGCTGAGATGCGCAGCCCCACCCCCAGCCAGTAGACGGCGGGGCCACCTGCAGACGGGCTCCCCTCCCTGCAAGGGAGCCGCCACCGCAAGCTCAGTCCTTGTGCCGTCGAGGCTGAGAGCTCAGGTCAGGGACACGCCTTTCTCTTCTCGCTTTACGGCCCACAGTCCTGTCAGTCGGTGGTTTCTGTGCATCGCAGTCTGAGGTCAAGGACCCGGGGGCTCCCAGGTCAAGGTGCACCTGTGTGCAGGTTCGTCCCAGGTCGGGGACAGAGCCCTGGACACACGACGCCACACCTCACGCACACACACACCCATGGGCAGCAAGTGTCTCTACATGACGCACGAGGATGGACTCCCTGGGTGACGGAGCGGGGAGATGGAGAGAGTGGGGTCCCACAGAGCCGTCCCTCAGCCCCGGGATCCCCCGGGCCCCTGCCCTCGGCAGCAGTCACTGTACGTACCAGCCGGAGCCCAGAAAACAAGCATTTTTCAAATAGAACCGTTTGGCCAACAAGGAAGTTCATGCGGATTCGGGGAATGAACTCCGAGCCCCATATGAGTGGCGGGGGCTGGGCTGGATGGTCCAGGGGATCCGGGTAGCTCGGAATCAGGATGTGAAGACCCAGCCTCTGGGCAGCTCGGATCCACGCAGGGCTGTGGTCACGTCACGTCCATCAGCCATCCAGCCCCCTCCTCCTGCCCTAGAGGCTGTGGGGGCTCTTCGTGTGGGTCTGCACAGAGAGAGGGTGAGCAGGAGATGGAGGATGGCCATGAACCTCGAGGGGAGAGAGAGACAGAGACAGAGAGAAACAGAGACAGAGACAGAGAGACAGAGGGAGAGACGCCAAGGGGTGGGCGCAGGCACGGCCCCGGCTGAGACGCTGACTCATCCGCGGCCCCGGCGGCGGCTCCCCGGGCCCAGAAGCTCTGACGTCGGGCTCCTCCCTGGGTGGGGGTGCGCTCAGCTCAGGGAGAAGAGGGTGGAGACCCTGAGAGGTCAGAGCAGCCAGGACCCCGTTCAGGGCGCCTGTGGTCACAGACACACTGGCCGGTCCACGGTTTCTGCTTCAATTTTTAACCAGAAGCAACAGCTGCTTTCTGCTGTTTTAACCTTTGCTTTGATGCTGTTGCTGAAACTTGTCTCCCGTGTGGTCAGGCCCTCTGGGTTCGCATCCCCAAGTCTGGGAGCCGAGTGTCCCACACGGCCTCCTGAGCGTGCGGCAAGGGGGCCAGTCACTCCGCGGGGGCCCCTCCGGGCGGAGCGGAGTCCTGCCGCCTCACCGTCCCCTGTGACGTAACTGACTTACAAGTATTTCTTTATGGGGCCGTGTCCACAGCAGCCGTGTCCGAGGGTACTGCACTCCTGAGTTAGGAGGCGACTGGATGTGGTCACCTTGGCCCGGGGCCCTCCCCGCTCCCTCGGGTTCCCCCACCACGTCTCCCCACCTGTTTCAGCTCTGGCTTCCGGACGACAGCTGGGCACCGGCTGCCCTCTCCCTGGGCCTTGGGGGCCCTGATGGCCAGGACCACGGGCCCTACTGCTTCAGCATCCTCGGTGGCCACGGCGCAAGCCACGTGTTCAGCGTGGGGCTGGGGAGCGAGCTGGCCGCGTGGGAGAGGTCCTTCCAGAGGGCCGCCTTCCTGGAGGTGCAGAGGGCCGGGGTAAGTGCCACACACTGTTCTCTGCGGAAACCTGCTCGGGGCCTGAAGCACAAATGAGAGCATGTGTGACAATCATTCCGTGAAAATGAACCTCACAGGTTGAGTGTTTCCGTCCAGTCACCAGGTCAAATGGTCTTGTGCTCGGCATGCGCAGCAGGTGGGTGCGGGGTTACAGGGACAGGTGAGACGCTTCCGTCCCACCCACTTCAGTCGTTATGCTTAATGTGGGGAGGGACCACGACACTTAGCGTCTAAGCCCACCGCACCCCACCTCCCTGGGGTCCGTCCGCCGGTGGGTGTACGGTGATGCTACCTGGACATTTGTCACACTTTAAGGCGCTTAGTGGGCCCCCTGACGACTTAATGACGCAGTGAGAATGCGGACAGCCTGTGCATCTGGATGGCTCTGCCCCCTCACAGCAGCAGGTGTCTCTCCGGACTGGAGTGAGTGTGCTTGGACTGAATGGAGGAGGAAGAGTGCGCAAGAATCCTCGCAGAATGGCAGAGCCCTTCTCGGGGGGACATGCGTGGAGGGAAGGCAGTGGGGCACCATGGAGCTGACTGACCCCCACAGCACGGCTCTGGGCTCCCCCGGCCTGGCTCTGACGTCCTCGGTGTGGACTTGGTCACCAAGGGCGGCGGCCCTGTTACTGAGCGCTGTTTTGAGTGTGAAAAGGTTCCGTGTCATCATTGCAGCTCTGTTGTGACAGTAGGTGGCCCCGTCCTTTTCCTAGGACTGGGCAGAGCTGGGATGGGGAGGGTCCAGGGGCCACGCCAGCTGTGCAGGGCCTCACAAGGGCTGGAGGAAGCCCGGGGGCTCGACTGTGCAGGACTGAAAGGCCGTCCCGGCCTCTCGGGGGCGGGGTCCCCGATCTGCAGCTCTGACTTCTCACTCAGGATGCCTGTGTCCGAGGAAGGCCCTGCAGCACCCCCACTCCCGGTCGGGAGCAACCTCGGCGCCAGAGAGTCGGTCCCTGACTTCTCGGTTTTCTAGACTCAGGAGGTAGAAGGAATTAGTCAGAAGGGCTCAAGTCCTGGCCTGACCATGAACTCAGACCAGTGATTTCTCCAGAACACCATTAGCAAATCTGCAAACCAAGGGTTATCACAGAGGCACCATGAGCCGTTTCAAGTTGTGTTAGTTTAGTGCACCCTGTGCCAGACCAGGTGCATTTAACACGGTATTTACTTTTCCAAACACGCCTGAGACGCAGCCATCATGGTTCCTCCTCTCATTTCACTGAAGAGAAAAACAGGTTCAGAAAGGCTGGGGGCTTCTCCACGGTCACCCGGAGAAGGGCAGCCACACCCCGCGATCCCGCCCTGCGCACTTCGGTCTTGGGAGGCACGTTCTCTCTGCTAAACACACCGCCTCCCTGAGACAAGAGGGAACGCGGGGAAGAGCCCAGAAAGTGCAGGGACGCTGCAGATGCCAGCCGAGCTCGCTGCCCCCGCCCCGTGTCTGGCTCTGTGGTTCCGGGCGTGTCTGGCGCTCCGTCTTCACGCGGGTTTGCCCGGCCCGACGCCCAGCTCCACGTCCCCAGAGGCCCCGTCCCTGTGGGGCAGCCGGCCCTCCACCCTGAGCGCGGCGGCCGTGGGCAGCGCTTCTCCCGCGTTCCTTGCTCCCCTCCTCCTCTCAGAGGGTCCTGCAGGTCGTCCCCGAGCCCGTCCCTGGCTCTGGATTTAAACACACTTGTCTTCGCAGGAATCTCGCTCTGCGTCTTATCTGGGTCAGTACATTTCACAGCAAAATCCTAAGTCCGAGTTAGCCGCCCGTTTGGCGCTTGTCACGCGGCCCTCCCGTCTCAAGAGCACTTGCTTGGCTTGTTGTATTTAAACAGCATCTGTGTTGCAGGTGGCACACGGAGGGGGCCAGAATTCGGTGTTGTATTTGCACCGGAACGCATCGAAGCCCCGCGAGGCCCAGCTTCTCCCCGACCCGCTGCCGAGCTCAGGCGCAGACGCAGGCGTCAGGGCGCGTGTTTGTCAGGCGCCTTTCCCATCTCGGTGGTCCTTCTCTTCCTTCTTAAACGTGTACTCATATGTGCGTGCTGCGCTGCAGTGCGCAAAATTCTGTGCATTTTTTCACATCAGCTCACAACATTTTTGTTTATACCAGGGATGCCCTGATAGAATTTGAAGTTTTTTCCAAAAGGATCTCTTTCCTACAGCAGCACGCAGCGTGAAGAATGCGCATCAGACAGGCTGCCTTTGGCCACAAGTCACAGGACTCTTGACTCAGCGACCGTCAGCATCGTGAGAACAGGTGCCTGCCGGGCAGTGGCTCCTCGCGCACCCCCGGTTGGGTGCCGAGGTCTGGATTTCCCTGAATGCCTCCCTCTTGCTGCAGGACCTCTGCCAGACGCAAGGGTGCAGCCGGCCCTCTCCCCGCGCTCACGGAGGGGGCACAGCTCCCCAGGGAGTCGGGCTCTGATCCTGCCAGATTAGGTCGTGAACCTGTTGGATGGAAGAAAGGCCTGTCCAGGGGCCGCCCTCTGCTGACCAGCGTCCGCAGTGTGGCCTGGGACGGGGGCGGCTTCCTCTAAAGCAGAAGAGGGATGGGTGCAGTGAAAGAATCAGAGTTCAGCTCGAAAGGAAAAGTGAGGTCAGACCCAACGAGCCGGGGTCGCTGAGGAGCCTGCAGGCACCGGCAAGAAACGCCCAGGACGGCTACACCGAACACCGGACACCGACACGGAAAGTCGCAGGCTGACTTTCCTGCAACGAAAGAGCAAACAAACGACTCTGAAACAACACAAATAAGTAAGTAGATAAAGCGGGGGGTAGACAGTTCACGGCAGAAACAAGCGGAGAAAGGCATGGCCAAGAATGTGGTTTTTCCTTCCAGTTTTACCGAGATGTGACTGGCACGCAGCACCGTACGAGGTCAGGGTGTGCAGCGCAGTGACAACTGACACGCGTCACGAGATGACTATCACAATAATCACTAAACGTAGTGAACACCCATCATTTCATATGAATACAGTTCATGAGTGCGTGCTATGAAAATTAATTAATTGACGTTTATAAAGCCCCCGGCATTAAAATATGAAAACAGCATTTCCTTAAATGCTTAGATTTTTCAGATAAATTTGTAATTAATTTCAGGCTGAGTTATTAAAAAAACGACACCCCTGTAGTGGGAGGTTTTGTGACACCACGTGGACTGCTGCGGAGACGCTTCATTGCTCCCCTGCGAGAAATGAACCAAGCGCTCCTAACGGAGGGTCACGTGAAACCCTGAAGGACACTCGGGCTAGACTTACGCGGTCACTGACTTTCTTACCAGAAGCACCGGCTTCACGACCCGGTTAAGAGTTAGGTTGTGCTCATTACGACAGCACGCTTGTCGCGGCTCTGACTCACCTGGGCGTTTGCGGATGTGGCTTTGCAGCCAGGGCTGTGTGACGTGAAAACCCTCAGCGCAACTGGGATGCTTCTGTTGACACCCTGTTCGTGCTGCATCTTCCCCGCGTCCACACACTCCCACAGGCGAGGGCGTCGCAGCTCTGAGGCTGGTCCTGTGGGCTCCTCACCGAGCTGGAGCCTTGTCTGAATCCACGTTAAACCTGGGGGTTCCTGTAATGGTCATGTGTTTGTCTGCACGCCCTCTCTAGGACTTCCTCGCCACTGAAGGAAGGTACGCAGTTCAGTGACCTCACAGAGGAGCTCACAGTCAGCGCCTTCGATGTGTTCGTTTCCCAGCCTCCTAGAAACACCCAGCAGGTGCTTCCATCCCAGCACCAGCATTGCTCCCCTTGTGGGTGCTGTGGTTGGGCAAGCTTCGCGAGTCCGAGTCTGGCACTTTGCGTGCTCACGCGCAGACCCTCACCAGCAGCAGCCGTGTGGCTCCAGTGTGTGTGCAGACACGCAACACCCACTGAGGCCGACGGCGAAGATGCGACCACCCCGCCCCTCGAGTGGTTTCCTGCTCAGTCGTGCTTGTCTCCAAGCCAAGGGTGGGTCCTCGTTACCCACTCAGGTCCAGCTGCTCCACACCTAAGAGCCCCAAACCGAGAGACGGGTGTGGGTAGGAAGGAAAGGTTGCTTTATTCAGGAGGCTGGCCTCCTGGGGAGAAGGGGGACTCACGCCCCAAAGAGCCACTCCCCACTGCCGATCAGGGGCAAGAGCTTCTAACGGGGGTTTTGGGGTGCCAGGCGGGGGTGGCAGGTGGAGCAGCACGGTCAGCTCTGACAGGCACCTTGGAATCGGCCGTGCGGGGTCTGACCAGCGTCACCTTGACTGTTTTAAGTGCAGCTGATCTTCAGTCCCAGGGCTGGTTGGTTCCCACTTCCTTGAGGCCAGTGCTCAGAACTGTGGCAGCTTCTGTCGTGGCTGCAGCCTGGTCGGCACGCAGGCAACTTCTTCCACCTGGTGGGGGCTTCAGCGCCTGCAAACAGCTCGAAGGACAGGGCTCAGGACACACAGCCCTCGAGGAGGAGCTGCGGGTCTTTGCCTTTGTGTGATGGCTCAGCCGTTATTTTGTCTCGTTTGGCTGTTTTCCTTTGTTTCTGTATTTTTTCTTCCTCTGATTAAATTTATTCTTTGGCTGAAGTTTTCACAGACAGGAGGCAGGAGGAGGACGTGGGAGTGGGGGGTGTTGCACTGGGGAGACCCCACAGGGTCGGCCAGGTGACCTCCTGAGTGTGAGAAACTCGAGGGTCCTGGTGCAGTGAGGGCAGGAGAGGGGGCGCCGCCCCTGCTCCGTCTCGGGG